TATATATCGTACATTAAACGTTGTACTGTTTACTGTATATTAACTGCTGACAATTTCGTCGTCGATACGGCTTCCACTATTGGCACACTCGTGATTTCGACCACAGTTAGTAAAATTTTAAACGTATTCGGTATTCCAAATCCCAATCTATCTGACCGTATTTTAGTAATAGCTTCAAAATATTCAGAACATTGTTCTTTCAGTCGCACATAGTACAAGTATTACTGTACATTCAAAGCCAATGGTAGTTTATTCGGCTTTATATTTGTATGTGTATTGATATCTATTTAATATTTGAAGAATTCTATATTTTCCGAGTAATATATTGTGCGGCCCGCTAATGCTTTGTATTATTATTGTTCATGTTGCACAATGTACACGCCTTGCGTCAATTTGACAGTTGACAGTTTATTTATCGCAGTCGACGCTGATTGGTTAGCGTTTAGCAGATGCGAAAAGGGGATGAATGAATAAAACGCATGGTTCCGTGCAGGCTCACCTTTCTCCCAGTGAGCCTGTTCGCAGGCTATTTAAATATTAGTTTTCATTCTACCCTGATATATTACACATTATTTCAAGTAATTCTAAAAGTAAGCGAACACTTAAAGGGGCAATGTCACCGATTTTTGGGCAATTCCAACACTCGCAAATTTTGCCCAAAACTGAAAAAGAATGAGTGTAAGCACAAAATAAAGCAATAACAGACACAGAAAACATGTACAGAAGTCTGGATGGACAAGATTACGCCAGGATTGAGATGGATTGTAAATGGCATCTTGATTAATTGTTGGCAGACAGTTTTTCAAGTTTTAGTCAATTTTTATGAAATTGTCATATTACATGTTTCGTGGAAGTTCAAACTAGGGGCTACGGTGGCCAAGTGGTTAGCGCACTTGCCTTTCACCTCTGAGGCTGCGGGTTCGAGTCTCACTAAGTACCTTCTCAGTGCGACTCGAACCCAGTCCCCATGTGAAAAGAGTAAAAGTCAACGCTCTGCCGAACGCCGTGGGTTTTCCCCGGGTACTCCGGTTTCCTCCCACAGGGAAAGTTGACAGGGTGGGTTAGGTAAAAAAAAAAACACACAGTAGCCCACAGTAATTGGCATATGCTGTTGTGGTGACCCTGCCCTAGTTGGCAAAGCTAAATAAATAAATAAATAAATAAGTTGTTTAATATGACTCATATATCATAACTTAATCCATTTACAATGTTTATTTTTAACTTTGTAGTTCAGTTTTTGAATAAACGGTATTTTAGGTCAAAAATCGGTGACATTGCCCCTTTAAATATGTGTAACAACGGAATTTTCAAAATAATGCCTATATATCAATGCATTAACACGGACAGACTTTTTAGGGAGATGAAACCACTACTCCAAAATCATTCTTGAGGATATCAATAAGAATATTATGGTCTATAGTGTCAAAGGCAGCACTCATGTCGAGCATAACAAGCAACGTAACCTCTTCGTTGTCCATATTAATAAGTATGTCATTCTGCACTTTAAGCAGCGCAGTTTCAGTTAAATGGAACTGACGATATGCTGATTGACTGACACGCAGTGGTGCATTTTCGTTACAGTGATCAACTAATTGCGACATGACAACTTTCTCAGCTACCTTTGCAAGAAAATGAAGATTATTAACAGGTCTAAAATTTTCAAACACTAAATCTATACCAAGTTTCTTAAGACGGGGATCTACAAGTGCCAATTTTCAGGAACTATTCCTTTTTCCAGCGACATGTTGACCATTTTTGTAATTATCGGACACAGAACATCACAGCAATCCTTAAGCAAATAAGTTGGTATTGGATCAAGTTGACAAGAGGCATTTGATGCTTTCGAAATAACTCCTCGTATATCATCTTGCAATACAGGAGAAAAGGATTTAAGCAATACTTCAGGTAAATGATGTTCAGTAGTTATCGGATGAACACCAATCTTATTAATTTCGTCATTGATAAGTTCAATCTTTCGAAAGAAAAATGTTCCAAATTCGTTCGCCAGAATCAACGGATCCTCATAAGGTGGTAAACTTTCAGATGACTTCTGTTTGGACAATGAATTGATAACACGAAACAATTTCTTAGAATTGCCTGAGCATTTGTCAATTAAATCAGAATAATAACTAGTTTTTGTTTTACGAAGAAGGGCACTGTATTTATCTCTAGTCTTATAATAAAGCTCTTTATCATGGGAACAACCAGATTGAAGCATTTTTCTTTCGCATTTCCGTCGTTCAGCTTTAAGCTTTTTAAGATCATCAGTGAACCAAGATACAACAGGTCTCATGACCATCTTTTTCGTCTTAATAGGAGCGTGTTTATCAAGAAGATTTAACAAAGTCGTA